CTGTCTTGGCTCTTGTTACTGTTTTGGGCGGGATGAGTCTTTGCTGCGGGGCGCTGACCTGAGCACTGGAGGCTGCTTAGCAGCATCCCTGGCCTCTGCCCATTAGATGCCAGAAGCACACTTCCTCCGCCCCGAATTGTGACAACCTGAATGTCTCCAGACATTGTGAAATGTGTCTGGGAACAAAACTTCCCCTGGCTGAGAACCACTGTTCTAGACACATGTCATTATGGAGAGGGGGTGTGGTGCACGCAGAGAGCATGGGCTGGGGAGTCACATTGCTGTCTGCATTCCTGCACTCACTGTATTTACTAAGCGCTCGCTGTGGGCGGGAACTGTGCCAGGTGATGGGGATGTAAGGGTGACTAAGGTAAGGTTTTTGCCTCAAGGAGAAGAGTCCAGTCAGGGAGAACTCATCAGTAAATATATTACCAATCAGTGTGGTAAATGCAGCAAAATAGATATGCCCAGGAGCTGGGAGCCCAGGATAATATCAAGAGTAGAGAGCTCCTGACCAGTCTGGAAGTGGAAGATGGAGGCACCAAGGAAGGCTTTCCTGACTTGCCCAGTCTGGCCTGAGTCTTAAAAGATAAGTGGAGGTGAGAGCACTGAACAGAGGCATAATTCCTTAAGCACAGGCAAGACTCAGAGGTGAAAACAAGCCTCAAGTGTGCTGGGTGTTGGACAGGAGATGGGAAAGTCCGGGGGGGTAGATAGGATGACCTCGTTTGCTGTTCTAAGGGCTGGTGCTTCCAGTAGGAGGTGGGAAGCCACTGACGGGTTTTAAGTGAGGGAGTGACATGTTTTTGTTTAAGCCGATTGCTTTGGTTAGTATGTAGAGAATGGATTTAAAGGACAAAGAGTGAAAGCAGGGAGGCCCACTTAGGAGGCAAGAGATAACGATGGCCTGAACCAGGGCGGTGGAAGGAAGGGAGACTTGAGAAATATTTCAGAGGTAAAATGTTGTGACTTGGTGACTCCTGGGTATGGAAGATGAAGAGGAGGGCACATCCCAGGGTGACTGCCTGTTGCACTTGCTATGAGGGGCCACCCTTGGTGGCTAGCACACAGGAACTCTCCGTGAGGAAAGCCACTGCATCATAGCATCAGGTCAGCTGCTTCTCCCCACTTTGCAAATGAGAAAATTGAAGCTCAGAGGGGAAAAAATGGTTAATCCAAAGTCACACAGACAGTGAGTAGAGAGGCCAGGATCTGAGGTCCGTTTGACTGTCTAACTTCCATCCTATCCTAACGCATGGCTTTGGCCAGGTGTGGGTTAAACCGGTAAAAATGAGTTCATTCAAAGGAGTGGATTTGGTTACCTTTGGTTTTCATGCTTGGTGTGTGCTCAGTACTTACTGAATGGGGGAATGATTGATTTAAATGAAAATTACACCAATATTTACGTATCATTTTCATACATTCCAAAATGTTGAGGGGGAAAGACGTAGCTTACACAGTAGCTTACAAGTAGTATCACCTGCAAACATCACCCACCTGAGCTGTGGCGTTAGTCTCTTCTCAGGTTCTTGGCCCTGCAACTGAAGTCGTAAGGCCCCACAGTCCATTGTTCTGCCTCTTTGTTGAAACATTCAATTTGTCTCTTCAGACACAAAGCCTGGGACATAGGTATAAGTAATTCAGCAATTTATATTATTTTTTAGCATCGCCATTGGGTTCTGGTCCAATAAGAGAACCTCTAGTCCTATTGTCATTTCTATCTGAAAATATTAAATGTGACCAAGACCAAGAATGACTGTTGGGCAGGAAAAGGGGAAGCTAGTTACTGGGCTAAAGATTGAATCTTACGGGTGTCATTAAGGAAAACACAAAGAAATTCCTGTTCCATCCCTCTAGGATTGCTCCCTTAACCTTTCCTTCTCCAAATCTAGACTTCAAAGCTCCTAGAAAAACCAAGATACAGAGTGTAGGATTAGTTGCCCAATTTATTTATATTTTAAGAAAGTGTCCCAAAAGGCCAGTTAAGCCTTTCAGACAACAGTGACAGTTCTCATCGTCAGAAAATCCAAGAATGATTATAGCCTGTGACCTGTGACAGCTCTGAAGGCCCAGAAGAATGGCCAGGGAATGCCACTGGTATTTGTCTCTCAGCATCACCTTCTTTCTCACTGCTGGGGAGAGAAGTTCTGGGCCTGGATGGAAAGAGATTCAAGGCACTGCGGTAACCAGTAGCTGCTTCTCTCTGTTATCTGTGTATCTGAGGATTCGTACCAAAACTGAAAAGGGAGAGACATTCACAATTTTGTACTCATGAAATTATAACATAGCGACTCAGACCAGGGCCTCTACAATGGTCGGTTCTCTCCCTGCTGAATACTGGGTTCCTTGACCTGGGTCAGGGCCTCAAATAGTGAGCGCAGCCGGAGAGCCCCTGGGGAGCCCCTCGTTCCCTATCCCTGTTGCTCGCAAGGAAGCCTGTGGAGGTATTTCTTGTACATTTGTGGTGCCAGAGCCATCTCACCATTCCCAAAGCAGGGCTTGCCTCTCCCACAAGCAGGGCCTGTGCTATGGTTCTCCTCAGAACCTGCTACTGGGCAATAAGTTATTAATGTCATAGTTCACACTCAGGCCAATTTAAAAGAAACGGGTTATTCCTGTTTAAAAAGCTCTTCTTTAAGTTTAAATTACAGGTAACCATGATATTTCTCCTCTTAATCCTAGGCACTGGAGATTCCTCCAGATAAAATACCCTTGATCTGTGTTCCCCTTTGCCTGCATATTTTATTCATTCTTTAGATCTCACTTTAGAGGTTACTTCTGACCTCTCAGTTGCATAGCACCCGGCAAGAGCCCTTCTCACTCTGTGTGATAATAGAAATGTCAAAGGCCTTAGAGTTTCTTTGGGGCAAGATGGCACCATGTTCATTGTAGTGTCTCCAGTGAGGGACACACAGTGGGCTGTCAGAGAATGCTTGAACCAAATGGGGGCACACTGGCCATTGCAGGGGCTTTGCAGGCCAGTGGACATGGACTTGCATCCATGTTGTCACTTGCCAGCTGTATAACTGGAGATGTCACTATTGTTGCGAAACCCCAATTTCCCCATATGAAAAATGGAAATAATAACACCCTAAAGAGCTATGGAAAGTCTTACACAGTTCCTGGCACATAGTAGGTGCCTAATAAATATATTTATTTCTTTGATCTTTATATTAGGTTGAGAATTAGAAGTTCCCTCCAAAATGTTTATGCTGAATGGCAGGGCTATAGCTCGGGGTAAAGCATTTGACTGCAAGATGTTTATGCTGAGCCACTGATAGGGTGAGAGGTCTCACTCCAAGTACCAGCATGTGGATTTTTTTTGGTCATCTTTTCCCCTGATAAGTGACACACACTTATTTGAAGCTACCCACTCTGTGCAAAGTTATTTGCCTTAACTCAAATGATTTGCCCTAACTTAACCTGAATGTGCCCGCTCATTACTAGCTCTAAAAATTAAAAATGGACTATTAATTACCATCCCATTTAAAATAGTTGCCTTTTGGTTCCAGGTACACTCTGCTCTGTTCAAGTAACCACATAGTGAATATGCTACTGTTCAAGTCCCCTAGGGCTGAGATTCTGTTTCTACGGTGCAACAGTGACATCCATTGGCCTGTTGTGCTAATTATAGAGGAAACCTGCTTCTCAGCTCTGTGACTATCGGGTTTCCTGATACAGAAACGCAAAGACAACAAATTGTCTCCGGTCTCAACAAGTAAGTCAAGGCTAGTGGTGAATACCTGGTCCCCGCAGAAGGGGCTGGTTTCAGGGCCCCTCCCAAGGACACACACTCTAAGATGAGTGCCACCTGAGTCTTCCCGTGCGGTCGTGTGAGGCAGTCCTTGAACTGGTCCTGTCTGAGGAGTTCAGTACATGTGTAGGGCTGTGGGGAAGCCACTGGTTTTGGATTCAGGAATGCTACTGAGTGCGTATGCCAGGGCACATCGCGTCCCCTCTGAACCGCCTCCATGAAGAGAGGCCGGTAACCATGCTTGTTTTGCAGTTACCAAGGCCTTTTCCATAGTTTTTGATAAATTCCCACAATTCCACAATAATGGTGAAAATTAGGAAAGCATGAATTACATCTGCCTGACTTCCACCAGACTATGAGGATGGGAAGCTGAGCACCAAATTATAGGTTTTCACACCTCAAGCTTTGGTGACTTATGTCCAGTGCCTGAGGTGGAATTAATCAGGCTACTGCACCAGGGAAAAGGTGAGAACTCTGGAGAAGGTTCTAGAGGTAGGAAATCAAAGGAAAGTTTGTGGGGCTGAATATGAGATTGAGCATCCACTGTTCTGATTTATTTCACCACAAATTAGTTTTGCTTATTCTAGAACTTCTTAGAAATGAAATAACACAGGATGTACTCTTTTGTGTTGGTATTTTTTACTCAACATGTTTTTGAACTTCACCCCTGTTGCTGCATATATGAGTAGTTCATTGCTTATCCACTCTCAAGTTGGTGGACATTTGGGCTGTGTACAGTTTGGGGCAGTTATGAATAAAGCTACTATGGATATTAGTGAACAAGTCATTTTGTAGACATATGATTTTATTTCTTTTGGTATGTACCTAGAAGTAGACTGCCGGATCATAGGGTAGATATATGTACGTTTGCCTTATAAGAAAGTTTCATATCATTTTCCGAGGGGTTGTACCACTTTACAATCCATTCCCAGTTGCTTCACAACATTCTCAACGTGTGGTGTTGGCAGTTGTATTAGTTTCCTATGGCTGCGGAATAAATGACCACAGACAGCATCTTAAAACAACACTAGTGTATTAGCTCACAGTTCCCCAGGTCAGGAGTCCCATATGACTCGCTGAGTTCTTGCTTAGGGTCTCGCAGAGCTGGCATGAGCGCTGGTTGGGCTGGGTGCTTATGTGGAGGCTCTGAGAAGACTCCACGTGCAGGCCGATTCGTGTAGTTGGTTGAGTTTCATTTCTGCGATTTCCTTACTGGCTGTCATTGGGGCAGCTCTCGGCTCCCAGAGGCAGCCTGCATTCCTTCTTATGTGGCCCCCTCCATCTTCAGCCCTGCAAAACACATTGAATTCCCCTCATGCTTCAAACATCTCTGACTTTCTCTTCTATCAACCAGAAAAAACACACCCTGCTTTTAAAAAGGCTCACCCAGTTGAGTCAGACTTACCTGGATAATCTCTGTATCTTAAGGTCCGTTGACTTGGGACTTAATTTGCATCTGCAAACTTCCTTCATAGTAGTACCTAAATTAATGTTTGATTGAATGATCAGGGGACAGAAATCCTGGGGCTGTCTTTAGAATTCTGCCTGCCACAGCAGTCCATGGTGAAGCCTTAAAACCACTTTTCATTATTCAGTTGCTTTCAAAGCTTGAGATTTCATATCTATTTCCTCCTAAAGAATCATACCAACTGTGGTTTCAATAATTATCCCTTATCGTGTGTCCTATGCATTTCTAAAACTCCTTGTTTTTGAAAACACCCGAGTGCTTCACCAATGTTGGGTTTGAGAGCCCCACCCAACATGATCAAGCTAACAGCCAGCAATATGAAGACTAGAAAACTTAGCCATGGGTTAAAGTGATTTGACCAAGTTGATTTTTGTCATTTCCTGATGCCTCTTATAAGTGGTTGCAAAATCAAAAACCAATACTTTAATTTGGTAACTAGAATAATAGAATCTAATGTTAAAAAGTCCAAGATCTTTATAGTGCAACTGAAGATCAGAAAAATTGATTCATAGATTTGGTTAGTCAGAGATGAGCCCAGGGTCATGTCCCTAGATTCCAGGGCTAGAATACACTCAAACTGTCCACTACACTCCAGCGCCTCCTTGCTTCTAAAGAGTTTTCTGATCAAGCAAGGGGACTTTGAGATTTGTTTTAAGTCTTAAATCTCTGGCAATCTAGAAAACACTGTTGAAAATCATGCATGGATTATAGTGTTTTCCTTACTTTCAAATAAAAATTCTTAAACTAGCTAAATTCCTTCCAAGTTTTATGTTTGTTTTTGTTCTATTTGGTTTTGTTTTTCTGGCTTGAAAGTAGCCAAGGGAGAGAAGGAGCTGGTAGAGTTGACAAGCTTAGTTACTAGAATCTTAGGAGTCCTTGATTCTGTGCTTGAAATCTCACTGGACTTGGGGACTCTGCATTGCCTCCAATAGGAAATAAAAAAGTTATATACCTGACTTCTAAGAAACTCTTGTAAAGCCCCTTATTTTTCAAGATGAATTCCAGAGAAGTTGGTTGTGTAGTCACATGACTTGCCAAGTCAAGACTAGGACCCAGGCCTCCCTGTGGCTTTACACCAGAGGCAAGAATCAGCAGCAAACCAGCACAATCTCTCCTGAAGCTGTATTTTATTTGGCCCACAGAATGGTGCTGTTTTTGTTTGAATTACTGTCCAACATTTAAAAACTGGAAATTTTCACAAAAAGTCCCAGATGACCAGCTTTCTCCTGAGAAGTTGGGAGCTCTGGTCACAGTGTACCCACTTTCCATAAGCCCTTTAGACAGGGCCTGAGGACTGTAGGTGCCCAATCCCCCTGGCTCACTTCATCCATTTACCTTCTTGGTTTCTATAGGAATTTGAGTCATGACACCTGCCTTACCCAAGCTGCCGTTTTGAGACACTTTTTCTGACTGTTCAAACACTTTCTTATCTGGGCTATACATACCAAATATGTTTGGCTCTTGTTTCCTAGCAATTGGAGATAATGCACCAGATTTTCAAAATAGGGGAGCTACTTCCTGGTATTAATTCTGGCCACTTAAAAAAGCATTTCATGGCACCCAGTTACCATGTGGGTGCCCAGCTTTCATGTAATTTCAAAAAGTACTCTTTTTCTAATGGGCTGGCTTACTAATCAGGAACTTCTGACTTTAGGTAAATAAAACCTTTGCTATTTGTGAAGTCTACGAGTTTATTAGGAAAGCCACCTTCTCATCTAAAGAACTTATGTTATGAGCTGAATTATGTCCCCCCAAAACTCATAGGTTAAAGTCTTAACCTTGAGTACCTCAGAATATGACTGTATTTGGAGACAGGGCCTTTAAAGAGGTGATTAAGTTAAAGTGAGGCCTTTAGGGTGGGCCCTAGTTCAATACAAGTAGTGTCCTTGTAAGAAGAAAAAATTTGGACTTACGAAGAGGCACTAGGGATGCCCACAGAGAAAAGACCACATAAGGACACAGTGAAATGATGGCCATCTGCAAGCTAAGGAGAGAGGCCTCAGGAGAAACCAAAACTGCTGACTTGATGTTGAACTTCCAGCTTCCAGAATTTTGAGAAAGTTAGTTTCTGTTGTGTAACTTACCCAGCGTGTGGTATTTGGTTATGGCAGCCCTGGCTAACTAATACAGCTTCTTAAGTTGTATTTCTTTGGCGGAATCTCTGTACAGCCTTATGAAATATATGCAGCAAGCTGTTAATTAATAATTCTTCTTGAGTTTACACAGCTAGAGTCCTTAGTTGACTGACAGCTGTGATTCTCAACCTTAGCTGCACATGAGAGTCTTTAAAAATAACAGTGCCAACCCAAGGACACGGACAATGGTGGGGAGAGAGACTGGGGAGGGGGAGGGGATGGCGTGGAAGGGGTCATTAGGGAGAAAAAGGGACATCTGTAATATTTTAAACAAAAATAAAATTAATTAAAAAAATAAAATAACAGTGCCTGGGATCATTCCCAATATTCTGACTCATTTTGGGGCGATTGGTCCTGGGCCTCTGGTTTTCAAAGCTTTCCAGATGGTTGAGAGGTGCAGCCTGGAGGGAGAATCATTGACTTAGAGAAAAGAATCTCCCCCCTCAAAGAGGGGCCAAGGCTTCTACGGCCCTCAGCTGGGATTCCACAGCTTCCAGTGCCATCCAGAAACAGGTGGAGCCGCTTTATGGGCTGTATAACAGGACCTTGAGGGCCTTGAGTAAAAATGAGCCTCTGCCCTTGGACTCATATTAGTGGAACCACCTCAAGTCTGAAAGTGGCAATAATTCTGCCTATGAGGCACTTACTTGTGCAGTGTGGCCTGGCTGGCATCCATGGTTTTGTTTTATTTTAATCTCCTATCTTTCTGCCATTGATATCCTGTGTTTAATTTCTGTCCCACCTTCCATACCAGTTGAGGGTGGGGCACCTGGGAGGGCATTCCAGGAAGCTGTGGCATTCCCTCAGCACCCTGGGCCTCGGGCTTGGAGCAGGCAGAAGAGATCGCCATTCAGAGGAGGGAGGGTGCTACGAAGGCCCAGGCCCCTGTGGCTGTCCTTCCCCAGCAGTGGGAGAGCCAGGGCCTTGCCAGGAGTGCCGGACTCTTCTGTGAATTCGGCTGCTTTTTGCCACATCTTTTATGATTAAAATGGTGGTTTCTGATGTTTATGACTATTTAAGCTTGTTGATTTCACTAACTTAATTCCTGGCAATTCTTATCAGTCTCTCATGAGCCTGTTCTGGCACTTTCCAGGAGCTGCCTGCTCTGTTCACACGTGGAGAGCGGTGATGTTTCTGAGAGACAGATGCAAGTTAAAAGCGCTTGCCCCTTCCTTCAAACCCTCTCTCTTCTGCTTGCTGGTGTCCATCTAATCTTTCTCTCCGCCGGCAGGTGTGACATCCTGACCCCATGTCATAACTTCGCTCTGATAAGTGCTGCCCTGGTCAATCCGCTGTGTCAGCGCAGAGCCGCCCGCCCTGGCACATCCACAAAACTTTCCGTGCACCAGGAAGTCCCCACTGGACCCTTTTATCACAAAGCCAGACAGAATGGGGCACTTTCAGGGCCCTGCAGATTGTCAGGAAAAGAACGGATTTTATAAGGGACTTTGGGACTTAAGTGTTGGTTGATATAAGGTGGTATTGCTAAAATCCTAAAACAGAAAAAAAGTGCAATTTGCTGCACCTTACATCTAGAGTTTAAGAAAGTCCAGTGATACCCAGTGTCTCTTTTTTTTTTTTAATCTCACCTGATACTTTTTCCATTGCTTTTCAGAGAGAGTGAAGGGGGAGGGAGGGAGAGAGAAACACTGATGCGAGAGAGACACACCGATTGGTTGCCTCCCATTCGCACGCCGATCAGGGCTGGGGATTGAGCCTACAACCAAGGTACGTGCCCTTGGCCGTAACTGAACCCAGGACCCTTTCGTCTGTGTGTCGACACTCTAACCACTGAGCCAAACCGGCCAGGGCCCAGTGTCTCTTAAAGCTGGATAAAGCTCTGGCCTCACTCAGGACAAATGGATATTTGTAATTATGATCTTGAACTGGTCGTGTAATGACCTATTATGCAAGTGATTACAGCTTGCCTGAAAGTATGACAAAGATCTTTCAACTCTTATTTCTTCTAATTTCTTGGAAATGCTGAGAAAGCAGGGACATGAAGAGATATTTCTTCACCCATGTTCATAGCAGACAGTACCCGAAAGGTAGAAGCACTCTAGCAAGTGTCCACTGGGGATGAACAGATAAGCAAACGCGTATACACACACAGTGGAATATTGGTCAGCCTTCAGAAAGGAACCCCTGTCACATGCTACAATCTGGATGAACCCTGACATTAGGCTAAGTGAAGTAAGCTGGTCACAAAGAACAAATACTCTGATTCCCCTTATAGGACGTGCCCAGAGTAATCAAATTCATAGGAACAGAAAGTAGAAGGTGGTTGGCAGGGGCTGGGGGACAGAGAAATGTGCAGTTGGTGGTCAGGAACTAGAGTCAGCTTGGGAAGATGAAAGCGCTCTGGAGCTGAATGGCGATGGTGGCTCCACAACAGTGTGAATGCACTAATGCCGCTGAATCATACACTTCAAAATTACTAAGACAGTACATTTTGTGTATTTTATCACAATTTAAAAAAAGGAAAAGTTGAGCAAAAAGATGTTATTATAATTATTATGCAAACCAAAGTGAGCATTCGGTGTAATGTTTTTATGAATTTCTTTGGTCAATTTATATAGCGAAGAGCCAAAGTTACCAAGAAATAAATCAAACATGAGACAGCTGCCCCAAGAGGGGCCTTTGATAGGCATTCTGAGGAAGCTGGTTTCCAGGCCCATGTGCCCACC